TGTCAGATGCGGCTCCAGCTGTGGGGTGTGCATCCTCCCACGAGATCAGAGTGGGCCTGGCTGGGGGGTGGGGACCTAGGGTGGGACAAAGCTAACCCGTGGGGGACGCGTGCGCCGGAGACAGGAAGTGAGAAAGCACCCCCAGGGGAGACGGCTGCTGCAGTCTCTCATCCCCCCTGGGGCTTTCCGCCCGGCACACAGGCGGTTCTCCAGCCCTCGGGTTCAGAACTCTGTGCTCAGTTGGCCATGTGGGATCCAGCTGTCTTAACCACCCCACCACCGGCTGGCCCCGGGGGTGTCTTGATGGCTTCTGAAAAGGGCCCCCTTCCTTTCCTCTCCCCAGTATTGGTCCCCGTGACACCTCAAGCTCAAGTCCCCTTTTTTTTTTTTTTAAGGGATTTTTGCTATAAGGCATGTGTGCTCATCAGAGAGACAGAGAGAATGAGAAATCACCCCCAGGAGGTATGGCCACCCCACAGTCTTCTCTTCCATTCTCCTTTTGGGATTTGGGGTATACACATATACACACATGGGATGAGTTTCAGCTGGGTCTGGGACTCAAACCATGGTCTGCCATGTAGGAGTCTGGCGACGTAACCACCGTGCCATCTGTTGGTCCCTCAAGTAACTCTTGATGGGAGGAGATTATTATGACTACCCCTGTTGCAGACAGCCCACGTGCCACTGGGTTGAGCCTTCACAACAGCCCTGGACGGTGGGGGGCTGCTTCTGTCTTGCAGATAGGGGAAGCTGACACTCAGAGAGGCCTGGTGTCCATCCGAAGGTACATGCCCAGGAAGGCAGAGAACCGGCATTAGAAGCAGAGCCTCCCTTTCCTCCTCCCCCAGGCTCGGGGTGGGGGGCCTTCTTGGCTTGCTTCAAAGTGTGGGGACAGAGAGCACAGGAGGCCACCTCTCCCTGGGCCAGGTCGTGGGCGGTTCTCAATTGGCCACTTTTGGCAGTGGGCTCCTTGACTTTTCTGAACTGCCCTAGGCTTCACAGTGTCACCTGCCACGCCTGGAGGGAGAGTGGGAAGGGGGCAGCAGATGTGGAGCCCCCACTGGGGTCTCTGCTCACTGGCCTTGTGCGTGGCCAGCCTTGGGTGCTGGGCAGCCACTTGCAAAGGCAGGCCTGCAGGACCTTTGCTGATGGCTCCTCACCGGGTCATGGTGGGCCCAAGGGTCTCCCCAGTCTGTCTCCTTGGGGGCAGGCCAGTCTCTTTTTTGTTGTTTTCTTTTTCTTCTTTGGAGAGGATTTTGCTATAGGGTGCGTGCGCTCGCCAGAAAGACAGAGACAGAGAGACAGAAAGTGAGAAATCACCCCCCAGGGGGGATGGGCACACCACAATCCCTTCTCCTCCATTCTCCTCTCGGGATCTTGGGCACGCACGTACACGTGCCTGGCGTGAGTTTAAGTTACCGGGTCCAGGACTCGAACCGCGATTGGCTACATGGGAGTCCAGTGACATATTCATTACGTCAACTGCTGGTCCCCAGGCCAGTCTCTTTATGGCCTGTCTCCCTAGGAGGGTGGAGGGGGCTTAGTGGAGGCTGTGTGGGGTGTCCAGGTGGGGCCTCCCTGGCACTGGGCGGTTGCTTGCCCACTGCCCTCTCACTTTGGCAGCCTAAGAAGCTGCTAGGGAGCAGGCTGGGGGCAGGCTTTGCTCCCACTGGTCACTTGCTCCACTGCCATGTCATGAGCGCCACTGCAGGTGGCAGGCTCGGGTGGGGTGTCAGGGCTCCTGTCAAGTCTGGACGGTGGAGGGTGGTAGTGGTAGGACGGGCCTGGGCGCTGAGGGGAGAGGCCCTCAGACCCTCGCCGGCTGCGCGCCAGGTGAGTGTGGAACCCCTTTAGCTTCGGTCGTCTCATCTCCAGGCTAGGATGATCTGTCCCGTGAGGTGGCCTGACTGCACGTGCATCATAGGCTAGGTGCCTGGCCCATGGGTGTTACCGTTGTCATCGCTGTCATTGCCCTCCCGCCTATCCGGCCATCTGACAGTGCCCCAAGGGTGGACCTGGGTCTGAGTCCTCTGGCTGTGGTCTTTCCCCTGAGGCCCCCAGGGAGCAGGCAGGCTGGGACGCTTCTTGGCTGGGCCTTGTTCGGAGCTGCAAGGTTTAGTCCAGCAGCCAGCAGTGTGGCCACTTAGATTTGAATTACTTCATATTTTTAGTTTTGCTATAGGGTATGTGTGGTTGCCAGAGCCAGAGCCAGAAACAGAGAGACAGAGAGAGAGAGAGAGAAGTCAGCCCCCAGGGGTGATCTCTTCTCCTTTCTCCTCTGGATTTTGGGCATGCGTATACACATGCCTGGTGTGTTTTTCAAGCTGCTGGGTCTGGGACTTGAACTGCAGTTGGCCGTGTGGGATCCAGCTGCTTTAACCAGCACACCACTTAAATTTAAAGTGAGAAATGCAGTTTTCGATCGCAGAAGCCATTGTCAGCGCTCAGTGCGCACACGCCTGCCTGCTGGAAGGCGTAGGGGACACTGCAGGAGGCTGCGCAGAGCTGAGTCTGGGCACTGTAGTGGCCTTCAGAACCTTCCTCACTGTTGGCTGCGACCGCCATAGCTGCCTCCCGAGCTCTGGGGACAGCAGGAGGTTTGTAATCACACAGAAACTGAGGCCTGGCTCCCTCCCCCCGCGTTCCCTTTCGGGCAGCCACGTTCTCCTGGCCAGGCTGGTTGGTTCCCTGGCAGGCCTTATCAGCACAGGGTGAGAGGGCAGGGCCGGGGTTGCCCAAGCTGCAGCTGTTACCTGCCGTCCCTGCCCTGTTTCTCCAGCTGGTGTTTCCTGGCAGGGACTCCAGAGTGATCTGAATTCACACTTGGCATAGGGCCCTCCCCGCTCCCAGCCCCCTGCTCCCTCAGGTATCTGAGCCCACAGCCTCTCGCCTTCTGCCCACCCCGCTCCTTCCATCGGGGCACCTGCTCCTCCTCGCTCTCCAGGCCCAACTTCCCTGGCCGTGCGGTCCTCCAGAAAGTGTGCTCCCTCACCCAGAGTGAGCTCCCCTCGGGTGTGCCTTCTGGGGTCCTCAGCACCCTCCTGTGGGTTTGTCTCGTGTGTGTTGTTCTCTCAGGCACTGAGTGCCAAGTACGTGTCAGGTCAGGGCTGGGCGCTGGTCAGAGGCCAACAGGCCACCAGCCTGGCTTTGCCAACTATGGGCTGAGGAGGCTGACCATTGGCCAGGCCGTGCCATCCAGGCCCACGATGCCCTGCCAGGGTTGTCCCTCCCTACTGGAGCACCGTTCACAGCACAGCCACCCAGATGTGGCCCGTGTCCCCCACGGCTGCCTGGCAGGTAGCAGCTCAGGAGGCAGCTGCCTTGACTGTGTCCCAGAGATGTGCCAGCCAGACCAGGCCAGACTAGAGGGCTAGGGCGCGGAAGGACCTGGAACAGCCCTCCATGTGCCCTCTACTGGCTGTCCCCGTCTATCATAGACCCTCTCTGACACAGGCAGCGGGCCTCGGCGGGTGGTGCCGGGGGGCAGGCTGAGAAGTCAGCAGTCCTCTGAGCTCATTGGCTATGTCCTCTTGCCTCAAAGCCCAAGTCCCACCCACTAGACCCAGCAGACGTGACCTCTCCTCGCTTCCACCCTTGCGACCCCAGAAGCCGGCCAGTGACGCCTCCAGCTCCATGGTGCACGGGCCCAGGACCTCCTCATTGCTGGAGGTCAGGCGTCTGCAGGGTCACCCTGTGACATAGTGCAGTGCCTGCCATTGGTGCCCACAGTCCCGTCGCTGCCTTGCACGTGGCTCTGAGCAGTGTGCGGGCTGGGCTGGAGTGGCCCTGTGTCCCCTGTGTGCCTGGCCCTGAACGCACAGCAGTTCAGCCAGGTGCTGCCACCCAGCTCAATGCCACTCCCGTCCTTTCTCTCTCCTGCAGGCAGCTGCCTTGCATGTGGCTCTGAGCAGTCTGCGGGCTGGGCTGGAGTGCTCTGTGTCCCCTGTGTGCCTGGCCCTGAACGCACAGCAGTTCAGCCAGGTGCTGCCACCCAGCTCAATGCCACTCCCGTCCTTTCTCTCTCCTGCAGGCAGCTATGACCTCCAGCCGCCCTGAGCCGGGCTCCCGGGCTCCCCTGAGTCCCTGCCTGCAGCCCCTGTCCCGAAGCTCTTCCAGCCTGCTGGGTGAAGGCCGGGGGCAGAGGCCCGCTCTCCGCAAGAGTGCCAGCAGCACCGTGTGCCAGGCCCAGCTGGGCGAGGCCAGCGCCACTCCCCAGGCCCCGGAGGAAGAGGGATGCCAGGCAGGAAGCACGGAGCAAGCGTGGACCTCCAGCATCCCCCCGCTGCCAGGTGCCGTGGGCCACTGGAGAAGTAGCACCGTGGGCAATGTGTCCGCCGTGGGCGCTGGTGACTTGTGTGGCCTGCGGGCCCCCAGCACTGCCGCAGTGCAGAGGAGTCACTCGGACCTGGTCCGCAGCATCCAGACTCGGGAGCACAGCGGAGCTCAGAAGGCCAGCCTCAGCTGCTCGGCCCTGGGCGGCTCACCCCTCCGCAGGGCTCAGCTGCGGCCTGTCAGTCTTGGCCAGGGTGGCCGGGAAGGGGATCTGGCTCCTGACGATGGGACTTCTAACTCAGCCTGGGAGCTGGAGGAGAGTCGGGGGTGGGAGCCACCTCCAGACCTGGGAGGCACAGCTACCCACAGCGGCAGTCCCCAGCCTGGGCCCAGAGCTGCAGGGCAGCCAGCTGCCAGCTCCTGCCACGCTATGCCACCAGGCGCTCTGCTCTGTGGCATGAGGGAGGCAGCGAGGGAGGCAGGCTGTCACCCTCTGCCTGCTGCAGGGGCCCTGGCCTTTCCCAAACTAGTGGCGTCGCTGAGTGAATCCGGGCTGCAGACCCAGCATGGGGTGAAGTGTCACTGCAGGTGGCCAGGGGGACTCCACTGCTGTGCCCACCCTCGGGGTCCCTCTGGTCTAGCCACAGAGCCTGGCTCCAGGACCAGGGATGTGTGGACCATGACTTCCACCAGTGACTTGGCCCCCATGTGGGTGTCCTCTCCATCAGCCCAGGATGCTGGCGTGCAGGTGGCCCCCATGGCAGCCTGTAAGTCTGTGGCCACCAGCCCGTCCCTGGAAGCCCCTGTGGCTCTGCACGTTTTCCCGGAGATAACTCTGGAGTCTGGCCTGGAGGAGGTGTCATCCCCAGTGCGGGACGTGCGCTGGGATGCCGAGGGCATGACGTGGGAGGTGTATGGAGCTGCGGTGGACCCAGAGGTGTTGGGTGTGGCCATCCAGAAGCACCTGGAGATGCAGTTTGAGCAGCTGCAGCGGGGACCTGCCAGTGACGACAGCCTGTCTGCCGAAGGCCGGAGGGGGCCGCTGCGTGCGGTCATGCAGTCCCTGCGGTGCCCCAGCTGCTGTGGTGCAGCCCCTGAGTGAGAACTGTGGCCCTCGGATTGGCCTAGGCCCACGGACTCAGTCCTATGCCAGGGCCAGTGGGGGCCCCAGGTCCCCTGGGCCTGCCGGGAGCTGGGCAGGTCTCACCTGAATGTCAGCTTCCTGCAGGCCTGCAGCCTGGGCTTGCCCTGCAGCCTGGGCTCGCCCCGCCACCTGGCTGCGTTGAGAGGGCTCAATTCCCAAGAACGTCTGGGGTCTGGAGTCTGGGTCAAGACCCAGCACTGTGCACAGGGAGCCTGTGCACTGTAGAAATACTTGACAGGGGACGCTGCCGTTCATCCAGGACTCTTGGCTGCTGTAGCTGAAGGCCGCACCAATGAACAATGTATTGACGCAAAGTACGGGTCCCAGCGTGGAAGGGGTTGCTGTGGCCACAGGCTCTCTGCGTGGACCTGCTCACCATCCTGTCTTTGCTCGAGTGAGACGGAACTACTGACGCCCGGCAGGCGACAGCCACTGCACCGTGAATTGGACAGCGCGAAGCGGGCTCAGATTCCAAGCCCGGCTGGTTGGGCTGGAGCCGTGTGCGGCACACGTGGGTGGGTTCTGTGCGACCTTGAGCAAGGACGTACTGAGCCACGTTCTGTGCCAGGCTGGGCAGGTGTTGCGGAGAGCAGGACAGAGGCTGCCCCTGGCTTGGCAGAGCTCATGGGGGGCTCTGAGTCTGACAGATGGGCTGCCAGGTTTTGGGGGTGCCAACAACTCATCACTGTGTCTGGGGCTGGCCTCAGGAAGGGGAGGGCAGGGGGCCACCTGCCACAAATGTGCCAGTGCCTGAAATGAACCATTGTCACCTTGTTCCTCTGGTGGAGGGTTTATTTCCAGATAGGATTCTTCAAAAGACGGTGCAGGCATGGGTGGGGATGGACGGGGACTAGACCGGGGAGGCTGGCTGTGTGTCCTGGGCGGGGGCTCCCGCCTGCTGGGGAAGGGCCGAAGCTGAGCGGCTGCAGGGTTTGGAAGGTGTGTGGGCCGTTTGCCCAGTCCTGCCCTCGTGCTCTGGCTGGGGGAGGGGACCCAGGGGCTTGGCACAGTCTGCCGTCCTTGGCCAGCGACGTCTTCAGGCTGCGGGGATGGGTGTGAGCTTGTGTCCTTACCTTGGAACAGAACTCCCTGGCTGCCCTCTGAGGGTACCCGAGGGTTAGGGTGTAGCCATGGCCGGCCTGCCCCTGGGGCCCCTTCTGCACCCGGGGACCCAGCCCTGGGCCTGGCCCTTGCAGAGCTGGACACCACTGGTGCAGCGATGGGAACCTATTCAAGCAGGAGCCACCATGGACCAGGCTGGTGGAGCCAGGCGAGCTGGCGGCTTCAGGCTGTGTCCTGAGCCCCACCACGGGGCACTGTGGCCTAACGCCCCTGTTGCAAGTGCACCTCTTTGCGGTCCTGGGCCTGTCGGTCCCTCTGTGGTGTGGGGACCTGACACTCTGGGAAGCGCCTGGTGTCATGCCACCTTCCAGCCTGGCCCTGCCCCAGCTGAGGAGCCCCAGCCCGGGGCAGGTGGGAGAGCGTGAACACGGGCAGGCAGGTGGCGGGAGGAGCCCTGGGTGGATGGATCAGCCTGCTCAGGATCGGGGTGCCTGCCGGGACTTTGGTGAGTCCCTGTGGGGCAGTTGTTGGGGTGTTGGTCAAATTGGGAGGCTGGCAGGTCCTGGTGTGACTGAGGAAGGGGACTTCGTGAGCTGTAGAGGGTGGGGTACCACATTCCAATTGAAGAATAGACTGTCTCTGGGCTGCCAGTGGGGAGAACCGGGCATGGGAGAGGTGAAGAGATAGGCAGGAGCCCAGGGGGACGTGGCGGGGGACCCGAGGAGAGGCCTGTCCAGGAGTGGTGGGGTGGACAGCTCGGGGGCCACACAGACACGTGCGCGCACACACACACACATGCACACGCACACATGTGCACAGAGGTCTCTGGTTGGGCAAGATGGGTGAGGCCATACATGGGACCAGGGGAGGCAGGTGGGCAGGTTTGACTGGGCAGGGGCAGGGCCAGGGCCACATACACGGGGTAAGACCAGTGAGACACACTTTCTCTGTCACGTACAGGTTCTGCCTGGCCGCTCTGCCGCCTCCACGCGGTACCTGGGCCAGTGGCAGAACTGCACGCCCAGCTCCTCGGGCCGAGAGATGTGTGCAGGTGGTTCCGACCCACTGGCCGTGCCCCGGCTGGGTACTAGAGCACGCTCCTGGTTAAACCCTTGCCTTGCTCTTACCAGCCCGGGCTGCACAGTCTGCCCACAGGTCTGTGGAGGGACCATGGCTTAACTTGAGATAATGGCCAGGAGATCCCTCACCCTACCCCGTCTG